CCAACCCCTCAACCCAACCGGAAACGCGAAAGACAAAGAACAAGCCGAACTGTATTATATGTGGCCACCACGGCCGTCGGTGGATGGAGGAAATCGCGCATCGCCTGGGTGATGACTCATGGCACCGCCCAGCTCCAGGACCCCGCGCACCTGCGGTCGTGTGCCAAATGGCCGGTGCTGCAGGTTTCTTGTCTGTGGAACCCACGGCGGCCCTTCCCAGGATTGGACATCGTTGCTATTCGTTGTTGGTTTTTTCGAATTGGTCGCAACTGCTCAACTTCGCCCACGCAAAAGGCTTCAAGCCGATGGCAGAAAACTAGGCGCGGGCGTCACGCGCTGATTGAAGGTCCAACGGTATAGTGGCCAGTCACAGGCGAGAGAACCGGCGACTTTCTCGGCGACTTTATGATACTTCATGTGCGAAGCAAGGGTCGCACTATAGCACACAATGCGTCAGCGCATGGAACCCATTGTAGGATATTGTATAGGCAGCATTCGCATGCCGTGTCGCACTGCGCAAGCCGAGGCCGCCGTGCCGCAACTCTAAATGCGTGCGTTGCTGCATGCTCCAGTGCCATCCCACCTCGAATAAGACTAGTCCCTTGACCTCGTGCGCGCTTGACAGCGCCCGGTGTCCCAGGCCGTTAACTTCTCTGCCAGAGGGCCTTCCTTCGTGAAACCGACGCTTCTTCGGCCACCTTGCTGCACCCGCAGGCTTGGCCTATGCTGCCCGCGTTTCACCACCCGTCCCGCCTTGCCGGAGTTTTCATTGGAGTCTCCGTTCTTCCGAGCCATCCTGTTGCGCAGACTTCGTTTGCCCTTGCCATTGACTCTTGATGCCGTTGCCGCGCACACCTCGATATTTGTGGACCCGTGCTCCGGCATTCTGCGAGCCAGGGCGTCCCTCACGACCGCGCTGCTGAAGCTGGGGCAACGGTTTTTTCAACGGGCTTGTCAAGGACGCGCAACTTAAATGTCGACCGCTCGCTAAGATGACCGACGCATTGAGGTCATCGACAATGGCCTGCCACCATGTGGTGGTGCCCAGCTTGCAGTCGGCGCCACGCTGGTTTCCCTGTATCTGCTGCTGCTGCTGCTGCTGCTGCCGGCCTCCCACGCAGGGCCGGGGGCCGTACTGCCGCCGGAGCCGCCTTGCGCACTGCAAGACGCGCCAAAAGAGCGCACGTGCCCAAAGCTGCGCAGGTTCAACCGTTGCCGGTTCACTGTCATTGCTCTTGAGATCGGAGGGCGTTGGAGTGCCGAGGCCGCTACCTCTTTCCGTTTGCTGGCAAGGTGCCAGGCGCGGTCGGCGCCGCCACCTTTTACTCTCCGCTGGTCTGCGCTCCTCCATATTTCGCTGCAGCGCATTCTTTAGCAGCCAGCCTGCTGTCCTTGTCCTTGCACCTCTCCGGCAGGGCCATTGTGGACAGGAGGTTGCCAATACTGAGCGACATCTTCGCCGACTGGCCTTCGAACGCCAGCCGTTTGGTGTGAATGCGCTTTGCGTGCGCCGCATTCGCCGCTTTTTGCTGTAGGTTGTTGCCCTGGTTTTGGGTTTGTTCACTGGGACCCCGATTCGTCGGAAGTTGGCAAGCACAGAAAAAAGACTAGTGCAAGATTTCCTCCATCCACAGTACGAAACCACATAGTGTTTTGGTTCGGTGCGGGACTGCCACTGCGCGCTGTCCTCGAAAAGCAAGCCTAGCATGTTTCGTTGACCGAACCATTCCATGTCCCCCACGTTCATACGTCGTGGTCCGGAAGACAAGGAATGAAATTCTACATATCATGTTATAGCATGTTGTGCAAATAGGACAACGCAGGAGCAGGAAAACCCCGACGAGCATGCCGATGCATCGCTGCAGCCACGTTGGACACAGCTGCATCAGACGGCACATCATGTAATTATGTCGTTGATGCCCACGGACCAATTGAAGGCATTGCGAAACATTGCACAAAGCCTTCCAACACAAGTTCAGTTCTGCGTGCGTGAACCATGGGCACATCTGCAAGCCAATTTTGGCAATCAGCGAGCTTTTCACATTCCAAAGTAGGATCTGACATGGGCAATTCGGTCGCATCCTCGACTGCTTTCACTTTGTGGGCACACAATTGTACGAATCGTTGCATGGACTCACATCGTGTCAAAGTTGTGCAAGGGCTGGGGTGGCCCCCCAAGCGAGGAGACGCAAAAGGCAACGACCCACATGACATGATGCTGCGCATGCGCTGTCGGTGTGCGGGCGCTTTGGTGGGCGGTTTTTTTTGCGTTCCCCGAGCTGCCAGGCCAATTTTCGCAAGTGCCTTCAACAAGAATGCGTGCCGCAGGCACGTCCTGCCATATAGGCGAAGGTCAAATCGAAGTAAAACTTCTCGCCAAAGACTGAGGTACAAGATGTTTGGAGCTTACGTCCTGATGCTGTAGCCATTGCACCGACATTGCACTGTCTTATCATGCATCTTTGCACACGTCGCCACGACAAAGTTGAGGCCCTGCAGCTTCGCTCCGCAGCCGAGATGGGCACCAAGTGCGATGCTTGGGATTGTTTGACAGGGTCCAGCCGTGAACAAGCCTTCGGCCGATCACGGTTTGAGAAGGTCTTGTACTAATGTTTGGTGAATCAGCAACAAAACCTGATGATCTGCAGGTTGGCAGGTTTGATAATTTGACGGTTTGGACTTGATAGTATATTCGCCAACACTGATAAATAATGCACAAAGGAAGTCGTGCACGATACACGTTACGAAATGCAGCATTGCAAACACGACATCAGGCATAAGAGTTGCTGCTTGCTGAAAAAAAGAATTGTAATTGCTTATTCGTGCTAGTGCCGCTGCCCGAGCCTAGTACAAAAGCACAAGCAGGAAATCACAGAGATGTACGTTTGCTGTAATTGTATACACAACCAACGTGTTTTTGAGCTTGAAGCGATCGAATTGATGGGGCCAGCAGTGGGTGACACTTGCATTTTCTAAGGTTCGGCATGGTGACGGCTGGACGCGCTGAAACCCGACTAGCAAGGAACCGAGTTCTCCCTGGTTGCTGCCGTCATAAGTTGGACTCGTTGGACTACCCGTCGTGACTACTTTGTGCCATCGCCCAGGATCCACTGCGATCGGAAGCGGCGCAGATGGCTGGCCGTGCTGAATCAGGCCAGGGCTGGGTCAATTTGCAGGAATTGATTGTGTGGCTTGTTGTGCAGGCTTGCTTGCCTGCGAACACCAGTGTGCAAAAAGGACCACATGCCAGCCCTTCTTTGCAAGCTTGCTTTGTGGTGCTTGGACGCTGCGATGACTGTGCATGCAGGAACTGGCCTGCGGCATTGGAACAGCCGTGGTCAAAGCCTAACTGAATCAACGCAAGTTTGTTTGATGCACCATGACGCAAATGTCAGACGCTCTTCGAGGCTCGGGACCGTGTCCGTTGAAATGGCGGGCGTTGCCAGAGACAGGTCTTGTCCCCAGAGGATCCCGGAAGGCCACTATACTGCACAGATATCGGGGTTGAATCACCTGCCTTTGATACAGCGATGAGGACAGGCGGACAACGATCCAAACTGATTCCGAATTGATTCGCTGGATGTCGCTGGTGCCTCCGCAAAAGGGAATGTCCTTTTGACAGAAACCGGTCAGGGGCGAGACTGTTGTTGTCTTCCGGCTTCCTTCTGATGCCACGGCAGCTAGTTCTTTGCTGCCGCACGGCAAATGCAGGCAAGTTCTTCACCGTCGCAGCCCTTTCTGAAGCCTTGTGGCATCGATGTAACGAACACGATTCCCAGCATCAGCCTGGGGGTAAGATGTTGAACTCTCACGGGCGACGGCATGGGCATGGGTCAATTTACGTGCCTACATGCTTCTCGACATGGCACTGGTAGCGTACACCAAGAGCTACCAGCTACCGTAGACATGATAAATCGGCAGGATGCACGTGTTACCGCAGCTCTGTACCGGCACAGCCTTATTTACAACATGGGACGACTCATGGCGGCGCCCGTGCCGGGGACCAGCAAGCCCACGAGCCCTGCGACCTATCAGAGCCCAGAGCATCTCAATCGAATTGGGAGTTGAGCATTCTTTGCTGGAAATTCGCAGGTTAATGGTTGGCAGCCATGAAGTGCGGAGCGTCTTGCGAATCACGGTTCGGGTCATGCCAGCCGGTGCTGAGGCGGCCGTTGCGCATCAAAGCAGAAGCAGCATCATGCTGCAGGAGTGTTGTGCACATAATCGAAAGACATGCTGCATCTTGGACGATACTTGGTATGTACCCGCAGTTTTGATAGCGGGTCATACTGTGATACTGGTATATGTGGCTATTGAGTAGCCAGCTTTTGGTCAGCATCTACTTCGCAGTGGTGCAGTGGATGACAGTTCCGTTTGCCTTTCCCTTCCAGGCAATGGTGGCGTTGCCCTTTGCTGTAGGTGTGCTAGCTGCGCGTCGACGGGCTTTGAGAAGACCACGTCGTGTGACCATGTACCAGGCCAGCGTGCTGCAACTGATCAGTCGAAAAGTTACAGTCCGACATATCCCCTCTTAATCTTCGGATAGACAAGGCGAAAATGTGAAGAATGCCATTGCTCTTGTCGTGTCGCCATCAGACGATCTCCACCCGAAGGATTTCAATTGTAAGGGAGGGCATTTTCATCCTGGCGTTGTGGCGGTTCTGTGGCCCCGATGGCCTAGCAGAGGTTTCACGAAATCAGCGCATTTGAGGAGAACGCTTGGCGAAGAGCAGATTCAACACCATGGAAATGAGACGCACTGCTACTGTGTCAGCAAGACAGGCGGCAAAGACAAACAAGACACCATCCCGCCAAACTCGGGTGCGAGTCAAAGTTTCTGGGGCTCAAAGTGTGAACCGTCAACCCAAGCCAAATGAGGTCAAGAAGTGCTGGCATCGCACCGCAACAGCACATCGATCTAAGGGTTGCAAATCGGACAAGGATCCCGGCTTTGCACCCTCACGGTCATAGCACTTTCATTCTTTTCTTGCAGTGGAGCCATGCATTCGACAGGCCGTGCAGCGAGCGTGGTGCAACCTCCCGGCAAATTACAACTGGGACATCTGCACGCAGCAGAACTACGCGGCGAGCGAGGGGGCGATCATCCCTGGAAAGCTAGAAGGCCGGCGATGTCGGGCGATTGGGCTGTCATTGCAGCAATCACGTCACTAAATCACGTCAGCGAGCCAACCCCACCCATGCTGGCAGGAGCCCGAAAGCTTGTCGACAGCTCGTATCACGGCTATTACACCCCGGAGAGGCAGCGTTTTCAGGATGACCTTGTCACCGATCTTGTTGAAAACAATGGTCGGTCACAGCAGGCACCCGTTCTGTTGCCCCTTGGATGCGCTGAGGTACTGGGCAGGGTGCAGGGATTGAGGGGGGGGTGGGTTTGGTCCTCATACAACTGATGATCAGTTGTTGTCTTCGCCAAGATGCCCAAGGTTTACTGCGGGAGCCATGGGCGTGGGCAAAACCTTTGTGCTCCACTGGCTCCGGGACAAGGGCATTTTGCCCGTCTCTGATTTTGTCAGAATCAACCCTGACAAGCTGGCCAAGCAACTTCCGGAGTGGGTGGGATCCTTGTGATGCCAATTGCTAGTAAAGTATGTGGTTTCGGCCAGGGTTGGGCTGAGGCGCGGTTAAGTTGTGGAAATCGGGTGTGGCACGGGCTTCTTGTCAGACCAAGGATATGATGCCTACGACCACTCCAGCGCTGCAGTGATGACTCGGTTGGAGGCCGGCTACCTCAGCGAGCTCACTTTACTTTATGCCCTCCAGCAGAGGCGCAATATCTTGGTTGACAGCTCCCTACGGCACGGTGCACTGATTATTGATCAGTCTGTACACTTTGTCTTGGATGCAGTTGGAGCTAGCCTTCAGACATACATATGTTCAAGTAGTAAGTCGCATAACCAATTGTGTGTCCCAGGGCACCGCTTCTTCAGTAGGCCTGGCCATAGTAAGGCAAGTGGTACTCCCGAGTCCTGCAAAAGATCCGTGAGAAGCTGCCGGATGTGTCCGTCGTCCTCATGTACATCCATGCGTGCGAGGAAACGGTGTTTCAGAGGGCAGTCGAACGAGGGCACAACGGTCGCGCAGTGAGTCATGCAGAAGTCGCCGACTCCTTGGAAAAGCTTCCGCGGGCTCTTCAGAAACTTCTTCCTTATACGGACTCCTTCATCCAGGTGAACAACAACTTCGACGAGCCTCAGGTAACATCCGTTTGTCAGCAGGTGCGAGACGAAGAAGGCTCCTCGTGTCAAGTGTCAGAAGACATCGAGTCCATGGGCGAGGTGGGCTGGTCCGGTGTGGCAAGTGTGCTGCAGCAGGCGACTACCGGCCCGCCTGCAGAACCGCTAGCCGAGCCGCCGGCCATTCTTCCAGCTTCCGGCTCCTCCCTGCCCCAGCCCATGAGCACCCTCTTCCACACCATCGCCTTTGCTGCCACGAAGCATCAGAACCAGACTCGCAAAAACCCACAGCAGACGCCCTACATCAACCACCCCCTGGCCGTTGCTCGCATTCTTGCCGAAGTGGGCATCCGTGATTTGCCTACGCTGCAAGCGGCGCTCTTGCACGACACGCTGGAGGACACGTTGCATACTTCATATTCCCGTTAGGCTGCGTCGAAGGGGTCAGAGCAGATGTTATTTCGGGATCCGCTGAGTCCTCCCTATGGCAGGCGTTGTGAATAGGACTCCGAGACGGCAACCTGAGGAAAGAAAGCCTTAGGCCATCTTAGGCCTATTCATTCTTCCATGGGGCTCGGGCAAGACTTCAAATGTCGTTTCGCCGCGAGGTGATATAAGACCGAGACCCCGTTTTTTGGCTTGTGAGGTTGTCACTGCTCATTGTTGATGTTGGCTTGCATGTGTTAATTTCACCTTCCCTGATTGGGAATCTTGGGCACTCACATCGCCCTTCAGATCCAGTAGACTGTGTTCGAGAGTGACAGCTGGAAGAGTTGCATGGAGATGCTGTTTTCTCAGGACACCGATACCAGTGCTGCCGAGCTCTCCGCTACTTTTGGCGAGCAGGTGGGCATGAAAGAAGGGAGTCCTGTAACCGAGCAAGCGTTGAAGCTGTTCCATTTAACTCTTACTGCAAGCCTGCGAAACTTAGGAAGCACGGCATTACACAGCTTTTCAAGCTCAATCCCAGATCTTGTTGCGATGCGGTCTTGCCTTGTGGCAGCTGTGGCTAGCTTGAGAGTTTTGCAGAGATACTGGTGGTCTGACATGTCTGCACATACCCAGCACAAAGGGGACCTTGATGCAGTGTACTGGCATGATCAGTAATGGTGTTTGAAAGTTAGGTCCGGGAGCTAGTGACGTCGCTGACCGATGACGTGGCTTGTCGGCATTGAAGAGGAAGCAGGCCTGAATAGGGAGGCTCTTCGGTCTGACGTCCAAAACCCATACTTACTTGAGCAAGGCCATGGAATAGCAACGCGTGGTCAAGACACTGCTTCCTACATTCGTACTGCCTTGCATGTCTAAGGACAGCTTGCGACCGGTCCACAGAAAGCTGGTGCAGCTGCGAGGTGCTACAACTTTGCCCCCGAAGGCAGATGCAAATGCAGTGCGTCGCACTGGCAACTGACAATCCTCATGCTACGGATCAGATTCTACGTCAGGATGCAGACAGTATTTCCTAGCTTGCATCATGATCGGCTTGGCCCAGGCGAAGCTTGTACGCATCGCAGACAAGCTGCACAATGTGTGGGCGTCCGGGCTCGACAAAGTTGCTTTTCCTTTTTTCCTGTGAAGACCGTCACTCTATGTACTCCGATCTAGGAGATTGCTGGAGTCAAGAGCTCTGGGCTTTGTCCCAAGCCGCACAGAGCCAGAAGAGCCCCATGTCTGCTCTGCTCCAAGCACTTGGGAGCACCATTGAACCAGCCTAAAGCCAAACGACTCAGACCGCAACTTTCAGGATCTCGTCCATCATGGCATCCCATCCTGGCCCAAGGAGCGAGCAGGGCTGTGAAGGGCCCCGTTCCTTGAATAGTAGGCCAGGGCTTTTGCGAGAGGTCTGCAGAGTTTCGGTAGAATTCCGTACTCACTGCTTGGTTGAGCCTGTGCTTGGGTCATGTGTCCTCAAGCCTCTATGCACCCACCCATAGCCGCGACTAGCCATGACGATGATCTGTCAGTGCAATGCATGGGTCGTTGATAGGACATAGGAGTGCACTTCCAGACCTGCATGCCGCTGCCTGGCTCCAGAATCTTGGCTCTGGAAACTTTACTCGCCGTCGTGACCTCCGCAGACGCCATGACTTCGCAAGGGAAGATCACCTATACCTACACCGATGAGGCACCAATGTTGGCGACCCACGCCTTGTATCCCATAATCAAGGCATTCTGCTCCCAAGCCGGCGTCGAGATGGAGTTGAAGGACATCTCCGTTGCCGGGCGCGTTCTCGCTCTGTTCCCAGAGAGGCTCCAGGAGGATCAGCGCACTGGCGACTTCCTGGCAGAGCTCGGCCGCCTAGCACAGAGTGGCCAGGCGAACATCATCAAGCTGCCCAACGTGAGTGCCTCCGTGCCACAGCTGAAGGAGTGCATCGCTGAGCTGCAAGGCCAGGGCTTTGCCATTCCCGGCTACCCGGAAGATCCCAAGGACGATGAGCAGAAGGAGATCAAGGCCCGCTATGCCAAGGTCCTCGGCAGCGCTGTGAACCCTGTGCTCCGTGAGGGCAACTCTGACCGCCGGGCTGCCGTGCCAGTGAAGGAGTATGCCTTCAAGTACCCGCACTCCATGGGGACTTGGGCCAAAGATTCCAAAACACACGTTGCATCAATGTCCGACGGAGATTTCTATGCACACGAGAAGTCGGTGACGATTGCCGAGGCCTGTGAGGCTCGTATCGAGATGGTGGCCGAGTCCGGCGAGGTCACAGTGCTGAAAGAGAAGATCTCCTTGCAGCAGGGCGAGATTTTGGACGCGAGCTTCATGAACTGCTCCATGCTTCGCGAATTCTTTGAAGCCCAGATCGCCGATGCGCGGGAGAAGGATGTGCTGTTCTCGCTGCATTTGAAAGCCACAATGATGAAGATCTCAGATCCCATCATGTTCGGGCACTGTGTCAAGGCTTACTTCAAGGACGTCTTTTCAAAGCATGCCCAGACTTTCGAGAAGCTAGGCGTCAACGCAAACAACGGGCTCGGCGATGTGTACAAGAAGATCGCGGGCCTTCCCGAGGCGGAGAAGGCGGTAATCGAGGCGGACATCATGGCCACCTATGCAAAGCAGGGGAAGATGGCGATGGTAGATTCCCACAGAGGTATCACAAATCTCCATGTTCCGAGTGACATCATCATCGATAACTCCATGCCCACTGCCATTCGTGCGGGTGGCAAGATGTGGAACAAGGACGACAAAGAGGAGGATTTCAAAGCATGCATTCCAGACCGAAGCTATGCAGGAGCTTCGCAGAGTGCATTGAGTTCTGCAAGAAGAACGGAGCTTTCGACCCTAAGACCATGGGGGCATGTCCCAATGTTGGCTTGATGGCCCAGAAGGCGGAAGAGTATGGCTCCCACCCGACAACCTTTGAGGCACCATGCTCCGGCACCATCCGCATCGTCGTCAACGATGCCAGCAACAAAGTGCTTCTGGGACATCGCCTGCAGAAGGGGGACATCTGGCGCTCCTGCCAGACCAAGGATGCCCCGATCAAGGACTGGGTGAAGCTTGCAGTTCGCCGATGCCAGGCCAACGACTTCCCGGGGAACGAGAAGCCCTGCAAGGCGATCTTCTGGCTGGATCCTGCCCGGGCCCACGACTGCCAGATCATGGACAAGGTGCACAAGTACCTCCCGGAAGTCAGGACGGACGGCTTAGACTTGGACATTGAGATCATGTCGCCGCAGCAGGCCATGCGAGTAACTTGCGAGCGGGCCAAGCAGGGATTGAACACCATCACTGTGACTGGCAATGTCCTCCGTGACTACCTCACGGACCTCTTCCCAATCCTGGAACTCGGGACAAGTGCCAAGATGCTTTCGGTGGTGCCTATGCTAGCAGGTGGGGGCATGTATGAGACGGGAGCAGGCGGCTCTGCCCCCAAGCACGTCCAGCAGTTCACAAAAGAGAACCACCTTCGCTGGGATTCTTTGGGCGAGTACTTGGCGCTCACCTGCTCCATCGAAGATCTTGCGAAGGACACAGGAAACAAGGCGGCCGCAAATTTGGCTGCAGCACTTAGTCGTGCAGTTGGCCGCTTCCTGGATGCCAACAAGAACCCCTCCCGCAAGGTCAAAGAGATCGACAACCGCGGGAGCCATTACTGGGTCGCACGCTACTGGGCTGAGGAGTTGGCCTTACAGGGCGAGGACCAGCGCCTAAAGGATACATTCTCGGGAATGGCCGCAGAGCTCAAAGAGAAGGAAGCTGCCATCCTCTCCGACATGATCGAGTGCCAGGGAAAGACTGTTGACATTGGTGGCTACTACCACGTTGAGAAGGCCAAGGCCGACGTGGCAATGAATCCCAGCGCCACTTTCAACGGCATCATCGCTCGCCTGGCTCAGGGTCCAGACGCCAGGATGTGAGGCTGCCAGGCTTCAAACGCATCTTCCAGCCCTACAAAAGGCTTCGTACAGCAACATCTGCGCATGTGTTCGCAGGGTTGGAGTTTTGATTTTTGGGGCACCTGATGTAGTGGTGCATAGCTTGCAGGGGCTCTCCGGCCCGAGACTTGAAGAAAGTGATACTGCAGAGAGTGTAACTGCCATTGCCATTCTTCAGGCTAAAAGGACTTGCAGCTGATGCAAAGAGTCTTGGAGCTCAGCCCGGGCAGTTTGCTGCCCATCATTTTGCGGCCCCTCTGTGGGCCTCATAGTTTGGCTGTGGCATGTGAAGAGCGATGCCGTAGCTCGACATCCTACACCAACCCAAGGGTTTGGCAGCTGCAGGCCCTATGTATGAAACTCGGGTGCGTATGTTGCAAGTTGATCTGCAGAAGAAGCCTTGTTGGGTGCGAGCAGCTTGCCAGTGTTCCTGCCTTGGGCCGCCGAGCCCAGCTGATTCGAAGAGCAGCTGAGCTCGTTCCAGTCGTTCCTGACAAAAAGAGCCGCCGGCCTCATGCCTTTGCTGCTTTGAGGGAGCGTCTCCGACGTGTCCGTAGGTCGCCGTAGGTCCCACTTTAGATGTGTCAGGGGCAGAGCTTCGGACGGCCGGAAGTGGTTGATCAACGAGGTGTGGTGTTGCTCACATGCTCCCGACGGAGGCCATTGATTTGTCGGAAGATGGAAGCAACATTTAAGCACCTATCCTACTGCAGACGACCGCACGACCATCTTTTTCCACTGTCCCGCGGCTTGGTCCCCTTTTTGCCCACTTCCGGAACTCCCGATTCTCGAGGAGCGCACCGAGCGGTACATCGCCTGGGCAGCTTGGCAGCTAACTTGTCGCTGTTCGAGGCTTCAAACCCTCCGATTGAAACGTGGCCAAATTGACGAGATGGAGTTGCATGCACTGCATGCCCGAAGTTCTTATGTGGTGGCATCACCCTGGAAAGCCCTGTGGAACTTTCGCAATGCACGATCGACCCTGCCATGCCGGCTTTGTCTTGCGAAAGTAGGATGTAAAAAGGAAGCAACGGGCTTCAAGCCACCAACAAAGCCTGCCTTACAGCCCATGGCAGTCTACAGCGGTTCTCACCTCTAAATGCATACGCTGTTTTTACCCAAACCCGGCAACGGAGATGATCAACACATCTAAGAATCTAACATCTGTGTCAACTTGATAGCTCCTTTTGCCCTGCTCGCATATGTTGCCTCCACGTCTTATAGCTAAGACGTGATCTGCAGAGAAAATCAGGCCTGTGAGATGGTGGCAGCCTTGAAGGGGACTCATGCAGCCCCTCGTCTTTACTGGCCACAGGTGAAGGTGATCTATGTTTTTGCTCTCAGCGAGGTCAACTATTCAGATATATTCAAAAAGACTGGAAAAAGCAACACGAACATGATAGCCTGGAGGCTCTGGAGGAACGATTCCACACCGAAGTTTCGCTACCCGCTGGCTACGAGTTGGGCGACTGGGAGCGCTTCGCACAAGAGCAGCTGAGGCCTGAAGCTTCGTACCCCGAAATAGTGATACAAGGAAATCGTGCAAAGGAATAGGATCGAAGACTGCGTCATGATCATGTGCTCGCCACTACAACAACACGAGTAGTCTGCGAGTATATTGTGACTCTTTGCTGGTACTTCACTCGGCTTTGACCAGGCACACAGAAGCCTGGGAGCACGTGCATGTTCAGGACGAGGTGCATTTTCTACCAGCTGCTTCCATTCCTCTTGTGCAGGGTGTGCAGTCAGTGATTGGCAAACAAAGCGTTCGATAGCTTGTAGCGAGCCGAGATGACTTAAAACGAACTCTTCGGATCAGACGTGCAAGAGGCAGTTATGGTCGTTTGTCGAAGTATCACGAGAAATCACATTCAGGTTGCCCGTTTTCAGTGGAAGTTGACACGGGAATGCCGAACAAACGAGCACGCTGGCCGCTGGCAGGTCACGGAACAAGTGCACACGCCAGAGCTCGACGAACAGCGGGCGGTGCTGTCTCTTTTGAAGGCCGCAGAGTATGCAGCCTGGCAGATCTGAATGCATGCTACAGCGGATGTACCAGCAAGCAGCCGGTAATGTAGCAGTGACTCACAAAGAGTGCTCTGTTCGATCTGTCTACAGATTCAGGTCGCAAGTCAGAACGGCTCACAACTCATCGACAGTGTGAAGTTTGCTCTGCTCCTGACAGAGTACGGCATCAAAGACCCGGAGACGCTCAAGGCCGGGCCATGGCCTTGGCTTTTGCTCGCAGCAACTTCACTGCCAGAGCAGTCTGAGTCGAAAAACGGAGCAGATCAGAGCAGCGCGACTTGCAAGTAGCCTGGGAGACTCAGACAAGATGCAGATTTAAGAGGTACTTACCCCTCGTGGGCACTCTTAGCAATGGTCTCATCCCAGCCGGGATTCTGTCACCGAAGCAGACTTGCAGATGGACAGCCACATTGTCCGTCAAATTTCGATGAGAGACCATGGTCCCGGATTGTGCAGGCAGGGCTGCTACTCGGAACTGCTAATGGTCACGACCGATGCTTCCCTGCACTGCGTAGCTCTTTTGTGTTGCTTTTTGCGCATGCCTGCAGCTGACGCTTCAAAGTCTCGGGCATGCGGCGTTGTCCCGTTCATCGAATGCGGGCTTGCCTGCCGGCGTCAAAGCAGCTTACATAAGGCTTACATGCTGACCGGCGTCATGTGAACGGGCTATGCAGCGAACCTCAAGCAACAGTAGTACGGCACCTCCTGTCAGAGTCTATGTCCGTTGAGGTATGGCCCATGGCAAAACATTCTGGCAGTAGCTTAGACGAGCACTCGCATCCTGCGACCTCGCTAGAGCCGTTAGAGAAGCTTCGAGGCCTGGAAGTCCCCAAGTAATCCAAAAAGATGCCTACGAACTTACATGCCAAGCCTCAACTCATCTCTCAGGAGTGATTGCGAAGGAATTCGGAAACGAGGTGGCATCCATACTCCGGGGCCTGGATGCTCCATTCCCCTCTGTTGCAAGCAGTGCCAAGGCCAATCGGATGCTAGGCGTACTACGCATGCGGCTTCGGAAGTTCCCACTGAAGTTCCGGTCTTTCAGATCTCAGCATCTTCGGAATTTGAAGCTAAAGTGTACCCAGAGAAATTTGCGCAAGCCAAGGATCCGTCTGGGTAAGCACTTGCACGAGCTACGGAAGCTCCAGTGGGGCACACTCTCTTCGCCGGAGGATATTGAAGAGTTCCGCACCCTGCCGCTTGAACCAAATCTTCAAAGACGACTCACTCGCAGCCGTGTTTGCATGCATTTGGGCCCTCAGTGTCTGCACATTTTGCAGGTTGGAAAGAACACGGAGTGTTCGAAAGATTCTTTCCGGCAGCCACCCGCCTTTGGAGGAGGCTTCGGGCATGCATGCTACAGCGCTTGAGCTGGCTTGACAGAGCGGGTGATGATGTCGCTTTTGAATCACTAGTCGGCACGTTTCGACGACGAAGACTACAAGCCTGCAATGCGTCCCCGAATGCCAACAAGCAAGAACATGGTATCGCAAGGATGCATGAATTCTTCGAACCGTGGTGTCTCGAGCGCGACTGCTGCTGCTGCTGCTGCTGCTACTTCTTCTTCGTATGCTACTTACTCGTACTACTTACTTACTCACTTACTGTCAGACTGTTACTATTACCATATCCATTTCCAGTACTATTACTAGTACTATTACTACTGCTGCTTTTACTGCTGCTACTACTACTACTGCTGCTGCTACTACCACCACTACTACTGCTACTACTACTCCACCACTCTACCACTCTACTAGTACTACTACTACTACTACTACTACTACTACTACTACTACTACTACGACTACTACGACTACTATTACATATTATTACTTCGTAGTTTACTATACTTATACTCCTATCTTCCTGCTTCCTGTGCTCAGCCCTGCGAGGCAAAACAATTATTACTACGACTTCTACGACTCCCACCGTACTACCACCGCTACTGCTACTGCTGCTACTACTACTACTGCTGCTACCACTAACTACTACCACTACTACGACTACTACTACCACCACTTCTACTACATTGTGCCGGCAAAGTGATCAGCTAATTGAAGTGGTCATCTTGGTAATCTTAGTCGTCTTGCTTGTCCCTTGCATTTCTTGGGTCACCTTGGGGAGGCCATCTTGGCCCTTTTGTCATCTTAACACCTATTATGTACCACACGAACATCAAGAACATCAAGATTGCTAAGATTACCACCACCGCCTCCCGTCCCTCCTCAGTGTTACACGCACCCAGCGACGCATCGCTTTAGGGGTACGGTTTAGGGTTCGTAATTAGTTTTGGTATTAGTATTGTAGGGTTAAGGCTGTTTAGCGTTTTAGGGTTTGGGGTTTAGGGTTGCACACGCCCGGCGTGCGCATCGGTATAGGTGTTTAGGGTTAGTATAATTAGTATTGGCATTAGTGTTACCCGTGCCCGGCACTCGCACCAGTTTATGCTTTTCGGGTTAGTAGTTGGTGTTAGTACCCGTCTTAGTGTTCGTACTAGTATTAGTGTCACTATCATTAGTAGTAGTAGTAGTAGTAGAAGTAGTAGTAGTAGTAGTAGCAGGAGTAGTAGTAGTGGTAGTAGTAGTAGTAGTAGGAGTAGTAGTAGTGGTAGTAGTAATTGGTAGCAGCAGTAGCCGTAGGAGTAGTAGGAGTGGTAGTAGTAGTAGTCGTAGTAGTAGTAGTATTAGTAGTAGTAGTAGTAGTAGTAGTAGTAGTAGTAGTAGTAGTAGTAGTAATCGTAGTAGTAGTAGTCGTAGTAGCAGTAGTAGTAGTAGTAGTAGTAGTAGTAGTAGTAGTAGTAGTCGTAGTCGTAGTCGTAGTCGTAGAAGTAGAAGTAGAAGTAGAGGAGTGCTAGTACTAGTATTAGTTTTGGTGTTAGTATTAGTCTTGGTCTTAGTCTTAGTACTAGTATAGTAGTAATACTGTAGTCGTATTAGTAGTCGTCGCGTCGAGGTCATCGTCGTAGCAGTCGTAGTATGAGTATGAGTATGAGCACGAGTATTGGCATTAGCATTCGGGGCGTGCCCGGTCGCGCATTTTTGCGGAGAGGAGCAGCCCTGGTGGATGGCTTGTTTCTCCCCCCCCTGAAATACCCAGACCAAGATTGCCAAGGTTGCTTGGTTATTTTGCCCCTCCCAAAAACTTAATTACGTACCAAGATGACTGGTCATCTTGCTGCTCCAACGTCCAATCTTGCTTTTTCAACGTCCAATCCCTTCCACCCCTGTCCTCGCAGTGTTGCCATCAGTGCCACCACTCCGATTGCGGGGAGCTTGTTGTAGACGCAGCTTCTTCCGAAGGGGGCGGCGGTAAAAAACACAACCCCACAGAGTTTTCCTTGCGGTAATAGCATGTGCAGATGAGCACATCCACCGTAAAGAGAACGTCGTGCTGACGCTCTTTCGCCGCAGCAGGCTTTGGATGATGTCTTCGGTGGCCAGGTTCGGCTGGCCAGTGGCGAGTTGACACCCGCAAGCCTGGAATCCGTAGAAGACGCGGAGTTCTGGCACTGAGGCAGGATGAGGACTCTCCGCTGCAGTATTGCATATCTTTACACAAGCCAAAAGTTCCACCAGAAGAGCCGGTGTAGCTGCCCCTGGCCGCACGACTTTGCCGATTCATCCGTAAGGCGTGTAAGGAGTCGAGCTCTACAGCTTACCACTCCATTCGCTGGGTGCTGCATTGAAAGTTGCGTCACACCATGTCAGGCTGCATCTGCGCACCCTCTTGCTCGAGTGTCGTTCATGCCTGATTCCCGTGCAGAGATCGGCGTGCCGTGGGCACCACAGACCGTTGTTGCAGGAGCAGTGGCTTTCTCAGTGTTCTTGATTGAAGAGAGCGGGGTTCTGGCGTCGACCCAAACACCGCCGCCGTCAATTCGAGCTTTTGCTTGCTGTCTCACCCCATGTTTTCCTGAGACAGAGTGAACGCCTGCCTACAATCTACAAACTTTTTACGGCGCTTTTAAAGCCATACTTCCGGTGGACGAAAGACCACCGGGACGCCAACTGTTCTCCGCGTGCATGCCTTTCTTAGACGAGGCTCCATGCGACCGAGGCTCATGAGGCAGCAGGACAGCGACATGGTGCAAAACAAAGTCGCCAATCGGTCTGGACGACTTGCAGACGGGGTTTGGCGATGGCATCCGAATCGGAATACGACCGATATTGGCCGATGCTGGATCAAGCTAGTAAGGAACATGTCCAAGGGTCAACAAAGGCGCCAGTGACGTGTGCCCATGTTCTCGTGCAACTTGCAAGGGGCAGGGAAGGCACATGCACATACGCACAAAACACAGACACATACTGGCACCCATGCAGCAGATGTTCATTGTGACAGGGGCGATGCATTGCATGGTGCTGCGGGGCTGTGACGGAATCAACCTTGCAGTTTCAAGATGCCTCCTCAGAAATGAAAGTGACATCGGTACCGGGATCAAAGGTGGTTTCGGGTGTCGCACATAGATTTGAAAATTGCCCTGGTCGCCATGGTGCTGTGATGAGCCGGAAGCCAAGGAAGCAATTCTCGCTCAGACCAACACAAGCTTACACTGCAGGAGCTGCACAGCAGCAAAGTCTGCGCAGCGGGCCATTTTGCAAAATGTTTTGTGGCTGGAAAGGTGCAACGCCAGGTCCAGTTCCTGGTTTCTTCTCTAATGGAAGTGGGCACGGACAGTACGCACAGCTTCTCGTTGACATCTGAAGCGTTCCCACATGTGCCCATGCACCCACACTCCCAAGCTGTCGTGTAAGGACCGACACCGGGAGGCCGTCAGCGGTCCTGGACCCCTGGCAACAGGCCATCTTTCAAAGAAATCGCGCGGTGGAGTTCGAAGATTACTTTTCCCAGCATGAACTGATCGTATTGGGTCCCAGGTGTTCATAGCAGGACTAGTTCGAAAGGGCAACTAAAACCAGGGACCTGCGGATCGTGTCCAGAACAGAACCTGCCTCCTTACATGGCTTGGGCAGGGAATCGCCAGGACGCCCTCCCACTCCGTCAGGCGCCAAGACTTCTGCCAGAACTAGGTGACCAGATCCCAGGCTCGCAAAACGCTTTGCCTTCAGCCTTCCAGCTTCAGCTTTCGTTTGCTTTCTGCATATTGCACATGCCCCCAAGCCCTGCTTGTGGACTTTGAAGCCAATTTCTGAGGAGATGAACTTCACAGACGGAGCATGATCCTCGGGGCCGTGGCCCGAGAGGGGGCCAGCAGAAGAAAAGCTGCGGAGACACACGGACGGGAGTCAAGTCGACTCTTGCTTTTGCTCACATGCAGGCACTTCGCGAGCCGACTGGCCGACACAGCATCTTCAAAACATAGTAACATATGCAGGACAATTGTTAGTTGCCCAGGTTGAAACAGGCAGTGACCGGGATGTTCTCGGTAGTTGGAGCTTTTGTCAATTTCACCGATTACACCGTGCCAGGACGAGATCATAAAGCCAACGCGCATGATCAAGCGGCGGAAGCAGTCGGAATTGAGCTTCAGGAACGGACGGGGCTTGTGCACCGCGGGAGCTAGACTGTCGTTACCTTGTCCTTCGCATCCCTCGAGCACGGAGACACGACAATAATGCACCATGGTCTTTGAAAAAAGTGCCGAGACAGGAGTTGTCTGCCGGGGCGGGGGGGGGGGGGGGCAAGAAGTTTGGAATGCATGCACCTATATGAGGAATCGTAGGCCGCATCAGAACCGCTCGATACCGGGACGGGTAGGGGTTGTGGTCTTGGGTTTAGGCAAGCTTGTTTTTGGGATTTGACGAGCAGAGCAAAGGGGAGCAGAACTCGCGTAAAATCTTGGGTTTGGGCCACACTTCATAAAATCGCACCAAGACGACGAAGCAATTAGTTGCAATCAAAACGACAGGTGCGAATCATGAAAAATCACCTGCAACACGAGGGAGGAACGAGGAGAGTCCCAAAGCACATAGCACCCTGGGCAGGCAGATCTGCTGAATGACTATATCTATATATATATATATATATATATCTATATATATATATATATATATATATATATATATATATACTCTAGAGTTTGCACACGCGACGGACATCTCGCGATTGATCCGAAGCCGATCCGTATGATCGTTGGAGCTCAGACAGGAGAACCATGCAGAACACACCGGCTGGATTCTTTCCCAAAGCGATGGCTGCGGCCGAGGTCTCACGAATGCCGCGCATGCGCTGGCTGTGAACCGAGTGCAAGATCACAGCCGTGGCCTGAGATGCTGAGAGAAACCAACCACGGCATAACTCAGTTTGCAGACTGCGAAAGGCATGAAGCTTCGCTTTTTGGTTTTCTCTTGCGAGACTTGCGGTGAGACAGCAGGTCTCATGCGTTCCCTGGCCGTCCAGTTCTTTGAGGCAGCTCACTGTTTCAGGTCATTACCGCGCGAGATAAGACACGACATTATTATACTGCAGAACGGGAGAGTCGCTGGCATGACACCTCCCAAATGTCAGCGTTGGAAACACAAACAAACCGGGGCTTCAGAACAGCGTGGTTCCTGTCATCGCAGCCTGGACACCCCCGAAGATCAACATGTGTCCGTGTCATCTTGCAGTGTCAGGTACTTTGCAGGCAAGCAATGTTCCGGCAAATGCTTTAGTGAGCTGAGCAGTACATGTCCATTTGGCCCGACGGTGAGTCCGCAGATTGAAGAACTCCGTTGAGGAACAGTGTCATTCAAGAAGGCCGCATCTGGTCCCTCACTGCACTAATCAAAACCAGTTCAATGTTGATATTTGGTAATCCTTTTGGTGAGCCAGAGCCAGGGAGAAGTCGATCCACAGGGATGTGCGAGCTTTGCGTGGGCGATGCAAGCAGCCTAGGATGCAAATACAATTTTTTTGCTGTTTTGCCTGTGTAGGTTCCGAGGGCATTGCTGGTACAAGCACGGATGTCGAGCCGGTGGCTGGTAATTTTAACGCTACGCCGCCCTCCTCGGCTGTGTAGCGGCAGGGCGAGGGGGCAGTCGATGTTTTTTTATGCTAGGGCGGCCTGTCAAACCCCACCTTTACGCGGTTGTTGATAGAAGTGCGAGGAGAACGGGCAGAAGGGGGGTGGAGGGGGGAGGGGAGGGGAAGGGGGGGGAGGGGGGGTGCTTCTTTTCCTCCAAACAAACAAAAAGGAAGGAGCCTGCACACAAGGAAAAGCAAATTGAAGCAAGAGTTTAAGCCCACAAGGCACCGGGCAGGCACGGGAGAAGTGGGGGGCGGGGAGAAGGCGGAGATTCGGGAGGGGAAGGGGCGGAAGGGGGGGGGAGGGGGAAACACTGAATGTTACACATCCAGGTGCCTGTCTGTTTCACGTATCACTTGCATGTATCCATGCCTGTTGCTCAAGGTTCTAGTGCAGTGGACTACAGCTGTGCGCCTGTAGCAAAAGAGACACCTGAGTGCCTGTGTTCCTGTACGCCTAGCGAGGGGATACACGTCCAGGTTACATCTCAACGTGGTAGCGGAGCTCCCGGGAAACGGGAAGCTTCACACTTGTGGAGGTACCCGTTCGGTACTCTCTACACAGGTGGAGGCAACCGGAATACCCGGTGTGCTTCACTCAGGTGAAGGTGACCGGAGTCTCTCCGGCACACTTCACTCAGGTGAAGATAACCGGAAGAGGTTTCTCCCGGGGCTCGATCCAAGAACAGCGCAATGGCTAGCCACTCTGCGACTATCTTTGAGCATGAAGGAGGAGATGATGACTACCTCCTCCACGGAAATGAATCTTTCGCGACTAATCATCGTCATCTCAATGAATTACACCGTCTTTCAGCTTTCCAGCAGGTGACCACCAAAGTACCTCCATCTTATGATGGCAGAAGCAGTTGGTTTGCCTATGAAGATGCGATCGATGACTGGTGTGACATTACTGAGCTAGACAATGATAAGCGTGGACCAGCTTTGAGAAATCGGCTAGAAGGTGAAGCAGCAATCCACAAGAGACTTCTCGACAGAGATCGCCTGAAGGACCCGAACAACGGAGTGAAGTACTTCAAGAGTTTCCTGCGGCCGCTTTTCGTGAAGGGAGCAGCGAATGTTTTTCTCTATCGCTTCCAGCAGTTCATGAACATGCACCGTGGGAACGGAGACATGCTTCGTTGGATTACCAGGTTTCAACTCTCTGTTCAGAGAATGCAAGAAGCGTGGAACGATACCTATCTGCCGATCGAGGACCCGAACAATGCAGAGGTCAGAGCTTTCATAGTAGGACTTCCTCCAGAAGAACAAGAAAACCTTACGCCAGCTCAGGCAATGGAGAGAGCCAACGAACGGCTCAGAGAGCAGCATGCTCGGACCATTCCGATCACGCCCAACCTGGTCGCTTTGATCTTTGTGTCCCTGTCTGATCTGACACAGGATCAGCGTCAGGTGTTGACATCACTGATAAGGCAAAGGAAAAGGTGGCAAAGGATCCAAAGGAAGGCGCTTCTTCAAAAGAAAGAAAGGCAGGTCACATCTTGCCGAAGAATCAGAAGCATGGCAAGCAGAAGGACAATGGCAAGATTAC